CCTGCACCTTCCTTCAGTGCCCCCAACTTCACTCTCATGAGAGGGGAGAAAATGTTGTTTTTGTTCCTTGCAGCAAATTGAATTGGCTGCTTCCCTCAGGAAGTGAGGCAAGGGGACAGCACACAACTAGAAGAGTTGTCTCGCCACTAGTGTGCGTATCTCAGCAACCCCAGTCACTATTTAGAAACTCTATTTTCCAGACCCAGGACTGCATGCATTATAAGCTTGGGCTGTGAACCTATGTGCCCTGTTTTCTTCCCTGCCTGAAGTCAGAAGAAAACTATATAAAGTACAAATTGGCAGCTGTGCTGGAAGAAAATGCTGGTGGCTTTGGAGGACAAGTGCTTGACTTCGGAGATCAGAAAGGCTGAGGAGTACTTGGACAGCCAGGCTTGGAAAACCTCACCCCAACCCAAGTTCAAAGAACCCAGGAACTCAGCATCATTTCATATCTAGAGTCCTGGGCAATAAGAAAGGCACTTCATTTGAACTGCAACAAATTCGATCTTCATTTGAAGTGATGTATGTTCAGTGCTGCTGCTTGCAGCCATGAGGTGTATTGTATGCTTGGAGCTACTGCAAAATTTTCCAAGCACATTGAGCTTCCTGGTGTCACCCTCCAAAATGTCCCCAGTAAAACTTGTGTTCCAACCTTCAGGAATCTGCAGGTTGTTACAGCAATCAAGAAACCTGAGTGTGGAAATTTAGAGAGAAGAATTGGCAATTCATAATCACAGGAAGCAAGGGCTGCCTATAAATGTGCTTGGCGGTGGGGGATGTATTTTAATTAAAGCGGTTCACAGAAAGCCACTAATTTAAACAGCTCACTGTCACATGTATTAAGGCCTACATGTTTCAAAATGGCTGTGGGACACTTTATCTAAAGCTTATTTAATGAGTTTTAGATAAAGTGCTCCCACAGTCCTTTTGTAATGCATGGGGGCTTAATACACATAATGGTGAGGCGACACTGGAGCATTCTAATTAGAACACAGAGCAGAACTGATTAATTAGAGGCCTATTAATTGATTAAATAGGTGTCTATAGGCACCAAAGAAGATCAGGAGACATTCTGCAGGGCTGCAGGCCAGGAGGTGAGGGGCTGTAACCACCAGAAAGAAGACTAGAAGGCAATCCACACAGGCAGGAGTACCAGAATCTCAAAACGGAAACTTCAGAAAGCATCTTTACGGATCTATCCAGTCCAATGGAACAGACTTGGGAAGGACATGCTGTAAGTAAATAGAGCTGCTCAAATCAATCTGCAAACTTATCAAACACATTCTACACAAAATCTCCAGTTATCCAAAAATGACAGATAGTCCTTGTCAGGAATTGTATGCTAAAAAGAACTGTAAAAAAATATTCTGTCGGGGACAGGATGGGTATATTGTTTTCCCTGGAACCAAGATACAAGACTGGATAAGTTTCTACAGTGAGCAGACAGTGGTGATGTTCATAAGTGGCACATATTGCTTCATGTACTACTCACCAATTATAGATGATTTCAGGAATCTTAGAAGAGTACTAAAGAAGAAGAATGTCTAAATCCCCTTTTCAGGGATTTTTCCTGGTCCACAGCAGGAACAAAAAAGACAGAAAATTTTGAAAGCTGACTAGCAGCTAGTTATGTGCTATAAGACTTTGGTTGGGTGGAATAATAAACTACATCCTTTTGTGAGAAAGCTGAAAAGTGGTTAATTGCCTCTTCAACAATAGCAGCCTGAGTAATAAACAAAAGGAATTGAAGTGACTCATTTATGGGGATAAACCTGACTTTGCTAGTAGTACTGAAACCTCACAGATCTCATAAATGTGATCTTGGTTATACTTTGTTTAGAAAGCATGTCTGGGTAAAAAAGGAACTGGGGGTGGAAATGTGAAAACCTGCATCCAGTAAAACTAAAGGAGGCAAAAATAAGTTATTTGGGGAAGTGCCAGAAAACTGAGGGGAAACTAACCATGAACTACTATTTTAAAAGGAAAAAGGGAATGGCACTGATTTCAGGCAAAATAAGAAAATGGATGATAAAAAAGTAAAGGAGCTAAGGATAATCAACAGTGAAAAATTATTGAAAACAGATCTCGTCAAAATAGCTTACTATCTTGTTCGATAAACAGGGATCCTGGTTTTCTCCGATTAAGAAAAAAAATCCCCATTTTTCAGATTTAAAAAAGTAATACAAAATCTACATTTTCCCCATGATTAAAGGAAACACCACAGTATATATACACACACATCTATATATCTATCTATATGGATAGATATATAGATTTATTTATCTATATAGATATAGATATTAGTGGCATTTCATTTTAATAACAGAAAAATGTGGATTTGGGGTTACTTTTTTAAACCGAAAAATTGAGGTTGGGTTTTTGTTTTTTTAATCAGAGAAAACCAGGATCCCTGATGATGAAGTACAAGTCATCCAAGGTTCAAGGTAATAGCACTGATGTAACAAGACTTTTGTAATGCATTTTAGTTGGTACTGCACAATAATTTAATTATCATTAGTGCTATATTTGGCACAGGTGCGACTGCCACTGGAATACAGAGTTCTGATGGTCACAATTCAAGAAGGATATTGAATAATTGGATAGAGTTCATAACAAGGCACCAAAAGTCATAAAAAATGCTTTATACTTGTACAAGACTCAAGGAACTCAATTTATTTACATCATCAAAGACTGTAGCAAAACCCCCAGTTTTTCTTTTCTTTTTTTCTTTTTTTTCTTTTAAAATACATTCCCTCCCTTCCCCAACTATTTCTGACTCTCTCTCTCCCTCTCTATTCCCTATAGATAAGTATGAGTAAGCTAAAACAGGATAAGCATTAGCATTTTTGTAGCAAGTTTTTTTTTCTTCTCTTTCTCCTTTGATCCACTGTTTTATATTGTATAATTATTATGTTTATATTGATTTTTACTATGTGATTACTGTTTTACTGATTTTTACTGTTTTTGTTTAATTGATACTATATGATTTAGGCCTACATGTGTAAGTTAGCATAAGTAATGTCAAGTTATGTCAAGTTTCCATTTTGTATGTCAAGCCTTCATCCTGTGTCCTCTGCCTGGATGTAACCTATGTTGTAACTGTGACTCATGTCTAACCAGTCTCATGTAAATTGGTTCCTGAATGAATGGGGATGAAGGAGGGTGCTTGAGATACAATGGTAGCAGGCCTCTACTGAATAATCAACTCAACGACTGGACTATTGCCTTGCACTGACTCACCCAGGAACCGGGAACCTCACCAGAAACCCAGCATTTGAAAGGCAAAGACCCTACAGAAACCAGCAACCCACCACTGTGTCCTACCAGACAATGAGGACATGTGGATCTGCATGTGGGCGTCTGGGCATGTCCCTGCCATAGGAGGCACAAGTAGCCCACCCCTATAAAAGGGGTGGTAAAGTGTGACCTCCTTGGGACGCCCTCTCAGCACTGCGCCACATCACCTATCCACCCAGAGGCCCTGCCAGTGACCCCCTCTGGACAACACCTTGCTGGGGAAGACCCCGACTAGCCATCGAGGATCAACTCTCAGCCCAGGATAGGTAGCAATCATCCACCTTTCTTCCCCAAGCACAGGACCTAGACTCTATCCCTACACACTTTAACTTCAATCTCTCCACCAAGACTTTTTCCTCTCCTACTACCACTGTGTGGGTGCGTGTGTCAGTGCTTGTGTGTGTGTAGGAACCAATAACTTAGTGAGCTGTATAGCATACTGCCTGGTTAATAAAACTGATATTCTTGACCCCAAGTTGGTCTCTGTCTTGCTGCAGGCTCCCAACTAAATCCCCATCTCTCTGACCCTCCTCTGGGCCTCATTCCTCTTTGGTGCCTCTACCTCCCCCAGCTCTGTCTTTCTCTCCCTCTCTGCTGACCCTACTCTTTGGTTTCCCAGCTTTAGCCCTCTGTCCTCTGCCTTC